ACTGACGCTTTTAACGTCGAATACGTGGAATAGTGATTAACGTTATGTTTTTTCAAGATTTTCAGCATATCGGCATTGTAAAATTCCTTCCCCATATCCGTTTGTAAATTTTTCGGAGATCTTCCACTCGCTCGAACGATCTCAGCGATAGCGTCAGTTGTCTCGCTTCCACCCTTGCTCTTGAGTGGCACGGCCCACGTGTACTTGCTCAACACATCGATGACGGTGAGTATGTAGTGGTGATCTCTGTTGAGGCTCGAGTATGGACGCATTTCAACAATATCAGCCTGCCACAGATCGTCATATCCCCGGACTATGACGCGCCTTCGCGGAAAATTTCTTCTTGCAGGAGCGTGCAATTCCTCAACGAGTCGACGTCTCTCGGAGCTAACTTTTTTGTATTCATCGTACCTCTTCTTCATGATTCAACGCATAATACACAAGAAAAATATTGTATTTTTTCTCGCTGTTGTCACTCGACTGCCTCGTTTCATTAATACACGGTTTAATTTATAATAAGACCGTTTCGCGGAGTTCCTCAGTGATCGACAGCATCTCGTTGTCGTGAGCGTTGTTGCACGCTCGGTGCGAAACGTCGAGCAATCGTAGACGATCCACCAGCTCGTTGGGATCGTCCCAGTGCACGTAATCAATCGTGTTGTCGTATAGCGTCATTGCGTAAGGTAATCCTTTTCCAGATTTCTTACTCTGTTTCTTGGGTGTGACCAGCATCAACGTCGCGATTATGTATTTGTACTTGTATCCCCTGTTGCTCAATAATCGACCTTGCGAATGATGTTTCTGTTTGTGCGAGCTCGTCATCAACAGCATGCTCTTGTACTTGTGCATATCGTATTCCGTGTAGAGGGCATCGTCGGGCATTCTCTTGAAAATCAACTCGTAAAGACCGGGGGTACCAGCGTATCGTACGCCGTCAATAATTATGTTGCCCGCGTCATCCACGTCGAAACGTTTATTGCAAAACATCAATCCATCCTTGTGTAGGTAAACGCCGTACACATGATCTATACCGATCTCTTTATCTTGCGCTCCTCGCAGGACAGCCTCGACGTACTTTTGACCCAGCGGACCCAAGTTGGCTCGTAACGCCTCTCGACCTTCCGACGTTTGCAGCTGATTTTGAACCTTCGTCGCTAGCGAGACTTCCGTCATTTCGAAAACGTTCTCCAATAATTATCGTCGGTACGATTTTGGCACGTGGGATGAAAGTTATCGGTTCACGCGATCGATCATTGGATTTATGCAGAGTTGAGGAAGGTTCAAACGTCTCGTTCGCTTTTTGTCCCTCCTTTTGTTCCTCATCCTCCTCCTTCCTCTCATGTTTAGGGGCAGACGCTGCATCTTCGTCGCGCGACTCTCTCTTTGTCGCGCGCTCGCCGGGATTGTCGGCGAAAAGTCGCAACGGCTCGATAAGAGGTTTAAAATGTTTATCCAACGCGATGCCCTCCTCGATTCTACCGGTCTTCAGAGCGCGATGTTTCTTGCGGATCGACTCGCTCGTCTTCTCGATCTCCCTCACGATTTTTTCGCGCTCGCGCACATCTGCCAAGATTGTCTCTGGTTAAGCATCGATGACGACTGGTTACGTTACGGTATTGCGAACTCGTTAAATCCTTTTCTGTATCGTCCATTTGTAAGCGCACTGTCTTTGTCTATCACTACGAAACCATATTTTTGTTGCCAACAGTCGCGGCACAACGCGTAAAATTCGTCATATGACATGTCGGTATTCACATGATCATTATAAACATGTTTCAAGTTGGTACCGTCCTGTTTGAAAAGGATCAGCAGGTTCGCGTTGTCGCGTATCAGATGTTTAGGTATCCTCGCGTACGTCTGACAAAGATAGAAGTAGTCGACGTTCGAATGGCGACCCATCGAAAAGTATTCTCTCACCGCATCCTGCTTGTGGCATGCCACGTCATCAAAGATAAAAATATAATTTGGACGCGCCTCGCTCGGTGGAACGACGTCGCTGTTGTTGGAGAACGTAAAGTAGCCGATTTCGTCGATAGATGTAAACAAATTTTCGAGATATTGATACTTTGGCTGTTGCAACGATTTCGAGTAAACGTACACGTTCTCGAAAGGTACGCCGTTCGGACTCTACAGTAAGCTTATGAGAACATTGGTTTTACCGCAATTCGACGGGCCGCAAATGATCGCGCGTATAGTATTCGGCAGCATTTCGCCGTGCTTGCGCTTCTCCACTCCGCTTTCCATTATTCGCGATTTCGCGTCGCAGTTCGTGACGCGTATCGCCAGCGGTTGCAATACGAATTTCATGCTCGCACTACGGGCAGTGCGCTCTCGACCACCTATTTAAAGGCGCGCGAATCCGCGAGTCGCGCCGTAATAAAATGTATCTCGCGCTACATCATCCTTCAGACATTCTGGATTTGAGCGCCGAGCAGTTGCAGTATATATCGAAGATCGTACTGTTACGAGTGTACGGTGACTACATCGACTACGTGTGGAACAAGCTTCCGGAACACTTAAAGGTGGATTCGGAGGTTCGAACGTATCGTCGCTGCGACGAGAACTACAATCAACCGTGGCAGCGAACGCACATCGACAGTCCGGCACCAAAGATAAAGGAATGTAGCGAATGTCAGCGTCAGGTAGCAGTCTGTTGAATCGAGCGATAAACGCGCTTTCTTTCGAGTTACATATCCCGGGCTACCAGTTTTGCGGTCCGGGAACTCGGCTGACGAAGCGATTAGCCAGAGATGATACGGGTATAAATCCGCTGGACGCGACGTGCCGAGAACACGACATTGCGTATTCTCGGAGCAACGATCTCACCGATAGACATGCGGCTGACAAGGTACTCGCCGATAAAGCGCTAGGACGCGTCACCGCGAGA